AAAAAAATTCTTTTATAATATATATATATATTTATTTATTTATTTATTTATATTTATATTTATATAGATACTACACAAAAATATGATATCATTTGCTTCACCAAGTCAACTGGGAGTTAGTAGTAGAACTTCCAACTTTCCAAAGGTTTTTCTCCTAATCCTTACCTCATTTTCTTTATTTACAAGTTACATTGAATTTTTGTGAATATTTTTTTCACATATTTCTTCCGCAAACAAGCCACAATCTTTTTTTTTTTAATTTAAAAAACTATTGAAACCCTGGGATAGCTAGATATGTCTTCAATTCTTTAAGCACGATTCCTACTTATCACTTAACCTCCTTGGAATTCGGGTGTCAGTTACCTTTAGACTATATTGTAAACTACTTTTATTTCCACACTTCAAAGTTTTTCCTAGTATGGATTAATTAAATGAGAATTAGAATAAACCTTTGCTGATTTTTTTCTTTATTTTTTGGCATAAAAAAGTCGTAACCTTGAGGAGATAAAACTTACATGAAATTTTGTAAATAAAGTTCGTGAAGTTTTTTTATTAAATATGAATAAATAAAAACTTTAATAAAAAATTTAAATTGGTTAATTGATCGAGTTCAATGTAAAGATCAATAATATGTAAAATATATATATTTAAAATATTATTTATAATTTAAATTTTATGAATATTTATTTAACAGTAAAAATTCTATCAATATTTTTATTAAAAATGTTTGTTTAATAAATATATCAAAATTTATTTAAATTTTTTCAAATTTTTTCAAATTTTGCATAATTAATCTATGTGATGAGATTTTTTAATCTATTGGTTTTTATTTTCAATCTCATTTCTAATAAAGAATTTCGAGAATTTTACCTATAAAATTTTATGAAAGAACTTCGAGAATTTTACCTATAAAATTTTATGAAGTCTTTTTCACTTTGAGGATAAAAAAAAATAGTATATGTATTGAGATTTAAATTTCAAACTTACTAGATATCACATCTTAAAGATAATTGCATGAATTAATTAAGCTTTGAATTTTTTATTTTTTTACTGCTACTAATTCTTCAACTCTTTCTTTAAAGCATAAAGTAGTTCTAACAAATAGTGGTTAAAACAAGATGTAATGAGTGCAAACTTAGTCATTATTTTTAACCTTTTCAAGGTAGTTAGCTAACAAGTTTAGTTTAAAAAAAGGATTGGTGTTTTTCACATTTTAGCGTTGAAACAAGCTGTGAAAAGTTTGCTGCCGTGACGAATTCAATGTTTGCATGGGGTCAAAAAAATTAAAAATTTACCACATGGTTAATTTTGTTGTTTTCCTTTATAGTTGATGTAAATTTTTTTAGTGGCTTAGTTTAACTTTAATTTGCTTCACCAAGTAAAAGTAATCTTTCACTTTCTTTTAATAAGAGGGTAAAAAATAAAGTCAAGATTGTTTCGTATAATTAACTTCTGGGTTAAAAAAGTAGTATCACATATTTGAAGCAGTAAGGTTTTAAAGAAAGGCAAGGTAAACATGTTAGATAGGAAAATTAACATGTGGAATTACCATTGTAATTTTTTTTAGCTGAAAATTTGCTTTGATAGACAAACAAATTACTTGACTCTTAATTAATCTTTGCCTCTTTTAATCCAAATTACTGCATCTACACATAAATTAAGCATTTGTGATGAATACAATGAATTTTGACATTTTTTTTTTTTTGGGTGCATATAATTATATATAGAGTTTATATTTAATACAATATCATTATATAGATATTATACATCATCCGTGAATCACGTGATGATATCTCATAAAAAATTAATTTTAGAAAAAGAAAGATAAATTTTATGCAATGGATATGGAGTTTCTTCTTGGGCTCCAAATTCAACCCAAAAGGTTTGGGCCTTGGGTCAAGAATATTTTTGGGTTTCTTTGAGATCAGTCATATCTTGATCCACTTTTTGACCCAAATTCAATTGTATAAGCCTTCAACATGATTAACCTAGAATACATTGGTTATATGTTTGATCTATGAAATACTTATGGTTAGTATTATTTTGACAAGTTGATCGATTTACACGCTGTTGAAATAGTACCAGATAATATTGTCAAGATTTTATTATCCGAAGAACTCGAAACTGAAGCTATCAGTTGTCAAAGCCTTAACCGTATTACATGCCACTGTGTATAGAAATTATGATTTCTTAATTAAAAATATTTACAATTACAATCAAATACTACATTTTATATAACAAATAAATTAAATTAATTAATTAATCAAAAATTAATTTATGATTAAATAAAAAAATTAAATCAAATTCAAAGGCAAACTTCCTTGTACCAACTCAATTTATCGTTACTTCTAACTATTTTTACATGCTTTTGGCAGATAGCTTTTTTTTTTTTCCTCGCCATAAATTTGAAGATTGACATTACTTCAATAAGAAATGCTAAGCCATCTTTGCTATGAAGAAGATTACAAACCTAATTTATGTATTAAAATTGTTAAAAGAAAAAAAACTTAATTCACAACAATAAAATCTTTATTAAAATTCAAATTTAGCGTAAATACTCCTAAAAAATTATAAAATTGACAATGTTATCTTATTTAATCCTTGTAAAATTTTAATAGTTATTAATGATAATTTTTCCTATAAGACTCTTAATTATTAAAATTAATGTATTAATTAAATTATTTACTTTTTTTTCTTTTTGTCATAAGTCATACTGAAATACAATTAATTATTGGGTGTGAGTACAAGCTCAAGGGATGGTCTTGAAAATATTTCCTTGTAGTCAAGATCATGGATCATGCATGATTATTTGACAATTTGAAATATGAAATAGTAACATAATATAAAAGTTATAAGAATAAAAGATACGGTGATAATGCAACTTAAATTTTTTTAAAAATTATAAATAGATTTAATAAAATCAAAAATTTATATTTTTATATTTTCATATCAATATAAATTATGATATATAATTTTTATGTAAAATATAATAACGAATATAATATATATACGTTATGGTAATACAAATGCCAAATCTACATGACCTTGTACGGCCAATTTTAAGATCAACCTTACAATTAGGTTTGGTCCAAGATTAATCCTAGATCTTAAAATATTTATAATTAAAACAATATTTTCATATCATAAATCAAAATTATAATCACATAATCCAAATTCATAAGTCCATATTGTAACTCACATTAAAATTAAATATTACGAAAAAAATACTAACATACCCCAACTTTATAAAAGAAATTCAATTTCAAACATTGTAGTGCACATTTCTATTAGCCTATGATAAGAAAAAACAAATTAACAAAAATTAGTAGGATACAAAAATATAAAAATGAATTGCATATTAAATTAAAAAATTAATTTTGGCCCAAATTAATGATATTATCTTTTTGTATAACATTTTTCAACATCTACATGTTTATACCAAAAATCGATTTAAATATTAGATCAATTGTTCGACCTTTGAATCTAAGGCGAGTGGGATGTATTTAGAATTGTAGACTATTTTAATAGCGTCAATCCTATAAAACTTGACGATCACCCACCAAATCTTACAAACATTCTAAAATCAATCAAAATCGATTGATCCAAGACGATTCTTTCCAATTAAATATTATGAAAATGAAAAAAAAATTATTAATATTAATTTTTAAAAACATAAAATTACATGCACAAACGTAAGTTTAGAAACTAATTCTATAAGCAAACACATTAAATATAATCAATTGAATAAATGTTAACAAATAGTATGATTAATTAATCACCTAACAAACGAACAAAAAGATTATTAGTATGTTATGAAAAATTCTAATATAAATTAAGTTGTGCCAAATTTACATATAATTGCATACCTTTTTTTTATGTTACCATTCAAACATGATCTTATTCTTATTCACTCTTATAAATATGTTATTTTCATTCAGATCATATCATATTATCATATTATTAAAAAAAATAATATTCATTACACATGAATTTATTAAAATAAATATTTATTATTTAATTATCACATATGAAAAATAATAAATTGTTAATTTTTTATAATAATGTGATTGCATGAAATGATTTAAATGAGAATAATATATCTTAACGTGGAATAATAGTTTAGTATAATCCTTTCTCATTTTGATAAGAATTAGTGTCAAAAACAAGTTTACTCGTGAACTAGTTAAGGTTAGCTTGATTTAATTAAGGTATCGAGTTAACTGAGGATTAAAACAAAAATTACAATTATTATCTCAAATTTTTAGAAAGTCTATTAAAAATAAGTAATTATTTTTATTTAATATTAACTTTAAATATATCAAATATTAATATTTTATATAATTAAATGAGCTAACCAAATCGAGTTCAACTTTAGGTTCCGTTTGGATAAACAATGAGAGTAATACAATGAGATTAAAAATAATTAAAAAAATTATTATAATTATGATTGAAAAAAATTATTTTATTACAATTAAAATAAATTTTAATAAAAATTTATACTGAATATATTTCATTAAAATTAATATTTTAATTCAATTGGGAGTGTAATGAATTTAATCACATCATATTAAAAGTACGATGAAATTCAAATAGACACTTAATTTTAGACTTATAAAGTAGATCATAACTTAAGTAAGAAAATAAAAAATTTTGAAAGAAAATTTTTTTTAAATACCTTTAAATTTTTCTTGGACACTTTTTTCATAGACATAATTGATAAATTCATCAAAATAAAATTTTTGATTTTTTATTAAGTAATTATTTAATTGCATATATTGAGAAGTATATATTTAATAATATTAGTGACAATATAAATATTTTTAAAAAAATAAATAAATACTCATAGCAGACAATTGTAATAAATTAACAATATATTATTTTAAATTTTATTAAATTATATATATTATAAAGTGGACAGCCAAAAAAATATATATGGGATCAGTCTTTTTCGAAAAAGAAAGTTGTACAATTTGTTTTATTGGTTTGGTGGCCGCCATTGGCGACCAATTAGTTGTGGCCACATAAAGTGAGTGCTCTCTTGATAATTGAGTTTAATTGTTATGTGGTAAAAGAGCACCTGCACCATATTCATAAGCTGGCAAGGAAATAATTGTGAAAAAGCAACACAGCACAGTGTAGAAGAAAGATATGCACGGCCATATCTCACAAGATACCCTTTTAGAGGTTCCGGCAGTTGTGGTATGGGATGTCTACCGTGGTCTCGAGCTCGGAAAGTTGGCCGATGAACTGCTACGAGATGTTATCGGCAGTGTAGAAGTTGTCCACGGTGACGGCAGCGTTGGAACTATTGTAAAGGTCACATTCCCTCCTGGTAAGTATGTAATAATATAGGATATATGTTTCCTCAAATCCCAGTTACATCTACCCATATAATATGGTAGCTTTGACCTCAATCTTAAATATATATATATATATATATATATAATATAAATGACTTTCATCAAGCTCAAATCAATTTTCAAAAATTAAATTTTAGAATTTGATTAAATAATTAATTATTTTATTATGTCTACTCGACTTAAGATTATTAATTTTTTTTATATTTGAGTTTATCAAAATTTGAACATAATCACTAAAATTAAAATTTTAATATTCTATCAATAAGTTTCTACTTTTGACAATTCTTATTAAATCTTCGGTTTATAATTAGAAGTTTAGAGCCATATTATTGTATGCGATTGCAAGCTACAATTTGGGTTTTTTTTTTTTTTCCCCCAAAGTCAATGACTGAATCATGATATTGAAATTCATGTAGGAACTCCTGGATCTAGTTATCTGAAGGAAATGTTCACAAAAATTGATGATGAGCACCGGTTGAAGGAAACAGAAATCATTGAAGGAGGATTCAAAGATGCTGGATTTGAGCTTTATCGTATTCGATTGCAAATCATTGAAAAAGATGCTGAATCATGTATTGTCAGGTCGTCGGTAGAGTATGAAATAGATGACAAGCTTGAAGAAATTGCTTCTATGGCCACTACTAAGCCATTGGAAATAATCGCAGAAGTTATAGGCAAATATCTCAAAGAAAAACAAAGCTCATTAAATTAGGATATTATGTGCTATGTTGCTTCCAACAACGTTGTCTTTATCTAGAACTAAATATTTTTTTCCTGACTTCTAAACTTTTAAGTATTTTTAAGATCTGATTATTCGTATATTTGTATTATGTTTTGTATCATATAAACCATGCAAGCATTTGTATGCAAAATATATGAATTGAACTTTTGAAGTAATGAAGTTTCTTTTGAAGGTTTTGATGCAATAATTAAGGTGAATAATTAAAAAAGTAAGTTCACAATTGGGGGGATAAAAAATCAAGTGTATCAAAAAAGTTGAAGGCTACACCTGTTGTTTGACTCAAAAGCTTAACTGCAATTCCTGATACAACTATTATTTGGTATCCATTACTGTGTGTCCTTTCAAGGATGCTTCAAAAGTTGCTCTTGAAAGGGATAGGCTTGAAGAAACGTATCCATTACTGTGTGTGCTTTCAAGGATGCTTCAAAAGTTGCTCTTGAAAGGGATAGGCTTGAAGAAACTAGAAATTCCCTAAGAGATTGTCTATAGGAGTTGGTTGAGTTGATATAGATTGAACGTTTCTTGTCTGGCGTTTCTCAAAATTTCTACAAATGTTGATATCATGTCCTCATGTTCCAACTTATCTTGTGGTACAAAATGAAGCCAAAGGCAACTTATTCCATTGAACAAAAGTTAATATGCATTCTACAATAACATTCTTATTCCGCATGTCTCGAGTTATAGCTAACCATAAGCTTAAAACTAAACACTCCAAGCACATGAACAGCGACTAAAAGAGCAGATATGACATTCAGAACGATGAACTAATGTATAAAAGGGAAGTCCCCAGTTATTAATAGTAATTTGCCAGACTAGCTGACACACATTTCATAGGTTACAGACTAAAGAAGTTATTCTTGTATTAGTAGTAATTTACCGGACTAGCTGACACAAATTCCATAGATTACACACTAAAGAAGTTCTTCTCCTCCAAGCTTTCAACGGTATCCTTTATACTCACCTTCAAAGGGGTAAAGTTAACACCTAAACTTTTTGCTCTGTCCTTCGACACCTGAAAGACCGGCATAAATAGCTTCTCATTGGCACATCTGCAAAAATCACTTGCTCCTGTTAATAACACATAAACATGGGCTACAATCACAAACATGCCTCCTTGATCCACCCAACATGATAACGTGATAGAGTCTACAAAGAAAGAACATGCCATTTACTGAGATTGGCCTCTAAAAACAGGAAAAAGAAAAAAAAAAAGTTCAAACTTTCATGTTGAGCACAAATGAATAGGATCATGTCCTCATTGAAAAACCTAAAGATCTTTAGATTTAAAAATACACAAGGGATAATATCACAAATGGCTCTTGAACTATAGTAAAATGCTCAATGTGGCACCTAAACTTTAAAAATCTCTAATATGATACCAAAGCTATGAATTTATTAACTAAAGTGGTACTTGAAGGACTGTTTGTTAGCCACGTATTGTCATTTGGAGCGGCCACATTAGGGGCGAGTACCACATTAGTTGGCAAAGTCATAATTCAAGCACCACATTAAAGATTTTTAAAGTTCAGATGCTACATTAAACATTTCACTATAGTTCAGGAGCTGTTTGTGACATTAACTTAATAAACAAATTGGATGGCCATGTAAAATCCATGGAACAAAAATGAATGAAAATACAAATTGTAATGCACAACAGGCAAAGTTGATACATAATGGAACATTAGTTGCTTCTGCCAATGATTAGAAGTTATCATGCAATAAATTCATATCCTTAAAACGTACTTTTCAGGAAGTCGAAGAGCAGGGTAAAGCTCATGTAAAGCCTGCACGACTTCAGAACAGTGCATAACTCTCTCAACTAAAAGGTATCTTCCACAAGCTGAAGAATTCTCAAATGCTAGTACATGCGCATTGGCCACATCTCTAACATCTATTAATCTATAAGTCATATTTGGAAACGTTTCAGACCCTGCATCAAATAAAGTCATGTTCAAGAGAAAGAGTTAGACAGACCTTGTCAGCAGAAACAGAAGAATATTAGAGATTCAGTTGTTATCTGTGAAGCATCAAATATTTGCAAGAAACTGCTCAATAAGATAACTATTCAAAGTATGTTTCTTTTTCTTTCTCCTGGAACAAGTAGTTACCATTTCTGTTGAACACGTAGAATATTAGAGACCCAAGCAAAGAGACATGCAACTTTAGTTATTGCAAAATGACAAAATGAATGACAAAGTGAGAAACGCAAAGCATTTCCAATACTATTTACTAAAGAAAGTTTTGAACCAGAGAATATAACCACTTTGATTAGGTTACTCGAACAATCTGAATCTGAATTTACAAAAAGTTCAACCAAAGCACCTTTAACTCAAACTTTTAAGAAAGAATAACCCTTCATGTCTCGATGGCTTGACAATTCTCATATCCGATATACACATTGTGCTGCACTGCTAAGTTACATGCTTAGTTCATACTAGCCATGTGAAATGATCTATGTACACACTCTTTTTGTTCTAGCTCTAGAATTCCTCACATACTTACAATATAGTAGACTCATATTTCTTTTTAAAACAATTCTTCTTGCAATTTATTTTATGCTCGGACTTGGCTTTGCATCGATGTTTGATGTTTGCTGCTTTTTTGAACAAAACCAAGAAATAAGCTAAAAAAAATGGTAAGCAAGAGAAATAAAATATTAATTCAGAATGCAATATTCTCTTGCAAAGTCACTTTACCAACAATAGATGTTAAATATAATAATTTACAGTCGGCTAAAGCTAGTTGCAGAGTACCATTAATAAGTTTTAATATTGGCTCCACACTTGTATTCAGCGTTGGCTGTAAGAGAGGTCCAATCACCAACCCTGGGTTTATTGCAACCATTTCAATGCCATTCTCTTTTGTATACTTCCAAGCAGCCTCCTCAGCTAACGTCTTGGAAAGCATATACCAAAGCTGATGACAAACAAAAGAAAAAATGATAAACAAAAGATTCTATCATGCCTCAAAACTGTCCTTTCTGCGGCAATAAGAATGGAATTGAGCATGTGCCAAAAAAAGAATAGAATTAAGCCTCAAATCACAATGTTCAACCCTCAATTACCCCAGAACCAAATGATAATAGAAGCATGAAAGAATTGCCTTGCCAATTCTAAGATCCAGACCCAAATGATAGACTGTAAAGGTCCTAAAATCTGGCAAAGTAATAATTCAGACGTCTTGCACTAGGAGACAGGAACTAATTTACCCAACACTTTATAGAAAGATAATTAATGAACCAGTGAATAAAAAGACAAGGAAAATAAAAGAATAAAAGGAAATATTTGCATATGATTTCTTAAAAAATACAAGACTTGATCCAAACTCTTGCACATATAGGTAGCATAACATCGTTTTGTAACTTACTAAAAATAATACAATTAAAGCTTCTCATCTTTTGAATAGAGGTGCATCCTATGGAAGTTAGCACATTTGCATACCTTTGATTTCTCACAAAAAGTGGGATCTGAGAACCAAGTCTCATCAACTACAACATCAGGACCAAGAGGCCTTCCATTAAACACAACAGCCGCAATTGAGGATGTTATAACCACCCGTTTGATAGATGGAACCTTAGCACATGACTTAAGAACATTAAGTGTTCCCTTAACAGCTGGATCAATCATTTCAGCCTGTTATAAAAGTGCCAGAGAATGCATCAATTATCAGGATTCTATTACAACATTGGGTAATTGAAAATATTCCAATCAGAACCAAAATCCAGACAGTACACATGTTTGTTTCTTTTCCCAATTGCAAGTTGATCCAAAGAGAATATCGCTTCTTAGAGCAAAGATTTTCAACAAAAACCAAAGAAACTTTAAAAGATCAACAATCAATACAAACTACAAGGAATTCCAAGAACATAAATAAGCCTGAAAGCCACAACTTGTAGAAAAAAGTGGTGGGATTTGAATAAATCTGTGAAAGAACAATCTTGTGGAAGAAAAACATGTTCAACTATATAGCAGATAAGCCAGTTTAATTACTAAAGTTCATCTGCAATGACATTTATGAATTGCCCAAGGTCGTTTTATCCACATCTCAGAAAATCAACAACTATTTACAGAATTAGAATGCTAGTACCTACTTGCAACTATTTATATGCAATTAGCGAGAGAAAGAAAACCACCTGAGGATCCTTGACATTGTGATAAAAAGGAGATGCCGTGTGGAAAACTCCTATGCACCCATCAACTACCGAATCAAAAGCCCCCTCGTCCAATAGCTCTGCCTTGAACAAATGGAGCCTTTCCTTTGCTCCATCAAGTGCAAGTAAGTGTTCTGATTTCTTTGGATCACCTATAAACAAGTGTATATAACAGTTAATTACATGGAAAAAAAATATCAATCTTACAACTACGTTGCATTAATCATCAATTGCAAAAACTTCTATATATGTTTAGTTGAGTTCAGCAATGTACTGAACCTAAGAACCAAATATAGCAGCTGAATCATGGTAATCAGTTAAAACATAATAATAAATAAAATTGCATTTCTATAGAAAGTAAATCAGAAAAATATTACGGCAATTCCAAGACATAAAAGAAAGGAAAGTGGGAAAGGGGGAAACAGTATGAGATATGTCAGAGAAATATAAAAATAATAAAACGAAAAGAAACACAGAAAGATCAATAATTTTCTTCAAACAAATAGAGAAAGGCTATGTAATTCACAAGAACCAACACAAGTTTTTTTCATCCATAGCCATAAAACCCATATAGGTTAAACACATACAAAGCCAAAAATTCATAGTTTTTCACTACTTTCATTTCTCAAAATCATTATAAAAAAAAATTGAAAATTTTAACAACCCAGATAGGTTAGACACATACAAAGCCTAAATTGCAAATCTTTCACTTCTTTCACAGCTCAAAAACATGAAACCCGGTGAAGCCAAGAACTCTAACAGTTAATCATCAAAAACACACATTTTTATGACAAAAACAAAATTGATCAGACATTTAGGATATACCCAAGAATTGATACAAGAAAAAAAAAGATTAAATGCATGTCAGAATTTAAGAGTGAAGGTTAGCACTGACTTGGGTCACGAACAGTGGCTTTGACAGTGTAACCACGTTGGAGTAAAAACTTAACCAGCCATGAAGCTATGTAACCTGATGCTCCGGTTACACATACCACCTTCCCTGTTTCACTCATCTCTCTCTTTCTTTCTTTAATTCTTGCTCTCTGTTACTATTTTCGTTGGAACTCCGAGACTGAGGCTGAGTCTGATGGATTCTACTGTTTATATAAGGAAAAAGCTAAGCCGATCATTTTGCTTTCCACCAATCTTTGAACAAGAAAATCAAAATCGAACACGTAACAATACGGAGACTTTGGGGAAAAAAATTACGATTTATTCTTTGAAGAAATAGCAATCGTACTCCTTATATATTAAATTATATATTATTTTGATTTTTATATTTGTTATATTACTTATTGATCCCTAAATTTTCAACTTTCTATGAAAATAATTCTTTTCGTTATCATCCGTTAAGTTTGACTCTTTTTTTTTTTTGGGATCTCTTGCCTTTAATAATTACTTAAGTTTTACCTAATCTAAAATTGAGTTAAATCAAATCTTATAATAAAAATAATTTTTTTAAATATTTATTTTTTTATTTATAAGACTTAAAATTAAAATTTTATTTTAAAAAATCAAATTCGTTAATCATTCAAATCAATAAATATTAATCGATTTTAATTATTAATTGATGCTGTGTGTTCACACATACATGATAGATACATAGAAACTAAAATTATTTGTATATAAAAATAAAAAAAATTTTAAATATTAATTATTTTACACAAATATATTATATAGTTTTTTAAATTTAGATTTTATTTTATTTTAAATTATAAAACTTGATAAAATATAAAAATATATTATTTCTAAGAATTGAAAAAATAACTTATTAAAATCTATAACTATATATTAAAAGTAATTTCCAATTTTTTGCTAATTGATTGACATTTGTTTACAAAGATGACAATACCTCTCTTATGCCGATGACAACAATATTCCTTTTTTAAATGATAAACTATTATTATGCCTTACCATTCTTACATGACAAAATATCCTTCTAATAATGTCAAATTATTATAATACTTTGTATATCTTAGATGATAAAAATACTTCTTTTATAAATAATAAATTATTATAATATTTATATCATAATTATGAAAATACTCTTCATATCATAATTAGTTAAATTTATTTTATCTTTTATAAATATCAAATTACTATAATGCCAGCTATGTCTTAAATGATGAAAATACACCTCTTATAAGTGACAAATTACCATAATATTTTTTATGTGATAATTATAAAAATATCCTTTATATCATAATTAGTTAAAAGTATTATAATATCCCTTTTATTATAATTATGAATAGGAATGGCAATGGAGTGAATATAAATTATTTTTTATATATCCATGTCAAAATCCACTTAATATTTATAACATCTATATCTGTTTAAATATTTGTTTAAGTTAATATCATTACTCAAATTTGGAACCATTTAAATAAGTACTATTCATTTAAATATCTAAATCTTATTCGTTTATTTAAATTTTTATCAAAATATAAAATAAATAAGAATTTAATTTTGCTCTTAATTAATAATAAATTAAAATTATTTTTTAAGGTATGAAACTTTCTACAAGCAAAAATTTTATATATTTTATATATGTAAATGGATAACGAATTTAGATATTTATTATTATCATTAAAAATTAAACGAATCCGATATTGGATATTTAAGATATATTATTCGTATCCACTCCGAATTCATCACAAATAATAAATTTTTTATCCAAATCCGTTAACTATCCATTTTTAATTATTCAAATCCGATATAAATAGATCACAATGGATATCCATTTTATTTACTATACATTTCCATTCTAATTGTAAAAATATCCTTACTACTATGATTGACCAAAATTATTATAATATTCTCCTATTATAATTACAAAAATATCTTTATAATTGTTTCATAAGAAGTTGACATGTGCCATTTTAATTAAAAATTTAATATAATACCCATTTAATTTACGTATTAAATTTTAAAATAATAATATAAAATTAATCACATATTAAGTTACTACAATTTTCTTATCATTATTTTATAAAAATTTGACATGTGACATTTTATTTGAAAATTGCTATAATACTTTTATTAAATTACATATATTAAATTTTAACATGATATAAAATTAACTACATATTAAATTACTAATTTCATTGAGATTATCAAAATGCTCTTATGATTTTTTTATTAAGAATTGACACGTGTTCTAAATAATTATAATATTTTTTTACCATAATTATAAAAATATCTCTCTTATCATAAATTAGTTAAAATTATTATGATAACCTCCTATCATAATTTGACAAAATTACTACGACACTCTTATCACTATAATTATTAAAATCCCCCTTCTACGATAATTTGACAAAATTATTATAATACACTTTCTGTCGTAATTACAGTCTTCCTATCATAATTGATTAAAATTACTATAATATCTCATATTAATAATTACAAAAATACCTTTATGCATTTTTCATAAGAAGTTGACATATGACATTCTTTTTTTTTAATTATTATAATATCCTTACTAAATTACATATTAAAATAATTATAAAAATATCCAAAAAAATTAATAATTAATAATAATTAAAAATTTTGACCAAAAAAATAATTCACCTCGACTAGCATGTAATTATTTCTAGTTTATGTTAGACTGAGGAATAAAAATTCACATTAAATTTATTTATTTTAAACCAAAAAATTCGATAAAATATATTAAAATTGTATAAGTTTAAATTTTCAAAAAACATATTAAAAATAAAATTTTCAAATTATTTATTTTAAATTATAAAGCACTATAAAATATAAAAATATGTTATACCTAAAAATTTGAAAGTAGAAAATTTATTAAAAAAGAATTTTAAATTTTATTATTTTAAACTATAAATTTTGATAAAATATATTAAAACTATAGTACATTGAAAAAATTAAGAAAACTTATTAAAAAAGAAAATTTTGAAATTTATTTATTTTAAATTATAATATTTGATAATACATATTAATATATTATATTCTAAAAAAATAATAAATATCTTTAAAATATAAAATATAAAATTTTATTGATTTAAATTATAATATTTACAAATATGTTAAAAATATGTATTATGCTTAAAAATAAAAAAATTAAATTAAATTAAATAAAACATTTTAAAATTTATTTATTTTAAATTAAATATTTCATAAAATATATTAGTTTTTTAAAAAACATTTACTTTTTTTTTCGTTCTCTTTTTCATTTTTCTTTATCACATCAAACACTCTTTTTTACCAGAGTCAAATCAAACGTTTAACATTCTCTAATAAATTGAGAGAAGGACCAATTCGCTACAATATATATTTTGCAATCATTTGAAATGTAAACAAATAAACTTTTGGACGAATCATTCATGCATATATTTGATTTTTGTTCAATTATATTAGTTAGTTAAATTTAACAAATAGTTTTAAATAACATTTTCACATTCATTTATTAAATGAATTAAATATAAACAAAAATTAATTTTATTCATTTATATTCATAAATAAATCCATTTAATAATTATTTAAAAATTATTATTTACATATCGTTTATTATCGTTCTTTGTTCGATAATAATAATAACAATATTAAATGTTTACCCTATCTTAATATTTTATTTTAATCCTATTATCTTGTTTATTGTTGTTCATAGACATATTTATTTATTGTTTATGAATATAATTATTAACATATATTAATAAACATATTCATTTAATATAAACAAGTCTAACTAAAACCAAACTTGAACTTTCTATTATTTAAGCGAACCAAGCTCGAATGTAATGAATAATTTTTTTATAATTATGAATTGGTTCTTAATAATTTTAAAAATAAACGAATAAACCATGAATATATATTTATTCATTCATATTTGATTCGTTTATATCTTTAGTAATCAGAGACCAATAAATTACTTTTTGAAGTTTAAAGACTAAAATAATATGCAATTTAAAGACTACAGAAACTATTTGCTCTTATTCTTTTAAAAAAATTTTATCCTTAATTGATCTAAATATATATATGTGCAAAATTCTTCATGTTTATGCATATATTTTTAAGTAAAATAAAATATTAATACTAAAATGTAACCTATAGATGGTCATATTGTGTTTCATTATAATTCAAGATCATTTGTAAGGTTCATCTTATAAAAAAAATGATATATTTTTAAAGGACCAATGTAACATAAGGGTATTTTAATCTTTATGAAAATATTTGAGAGGAAAACACAATACAGTAAAAATTTGACTATCTAAAAGCTGAGAGTAGAGTGCATGGGTTCTTAATTTTTATTGATTTTTTAAATATGATGTGCTAAAAAATTATGAAAATAAAAATAAAAATTATATATAAAATTTAAATAAAGTATGTTTCATATAATTTGATGCATTAATACAAATTTAATACAATAATTTTATTTTTATACATATTAAATATAATATAAATATATAAATTATTATATTTTCTTTTAATGTTTAAGAGCAATTGTTAGGATGATTGTCTCTAGCATTTTTTTTATATAATATAATTTTAATATATGATTCTTGTATATTATTAATCAAATAAACATATGATTTTTGTATATTATTAATCAAATAAACATAAAATCGAGATAAATAGTGGCACATAATTTCAGGATAAATGAATCAAACATAGCATAATCATTCTCTTTAATTGGGAAGCAATAAAACATACTCTCCCTGTCCTAAAATTATTCTCTTATTTAATATTTTTTTTTTTGGTCAAATTAATTCAATTTTGATTATTATTTTTAATAAAATAATAAAAAAAAAATTTACAAATAAGATTTGTAAACTTTTAAGTTTTAAATTTTTTAAACATATTTTTTAAAATTTTAATTTAATATTATATTTCCAAAAATAAGGTATTAATACATCAAATTCCACTCTTTTACAATACAAGGATAAACCGGAAGATATGCACAAAAACCCATTAAAACTACGAGTTCTCATCGTTTTAATTTGTTTCCTACGTTTCCAGGCTGAGGCATAAAGAAATCAGAATCAAATCAAGGAATTAATTATTAAGCCACCATTGCTATTGCTATGGCTATCAGTATGACTAACCTTGTATGGATACATGGAAACTTACAGGCTAACCTGGAAACAGAATATCAAGCTTTGTGCTGGATCTTTTCTTGGGCTTTCTTGCTATCTTCTTTCCTGCCAAGGTTGTGATAGCTGCAATGTCCTCTTCAATCTCTTCCTTGGACAGCGTAATACTCAAACGTTTCTTCTTTTCCTCCTCCTTTGCAGCCGCACCTACACGGCGGACCACTCTCTTCCTTTTCTGTGGAACAACACTCTGATCATCATTAGGCATTGTCTGAGGAGTGGTGGACGAGTTTGGATCATCATCACATTGGTGGTTTTTTCTCAGGAATATTGATGCTGACCAACGAGGCAACTCAAAGTAGTGGAGAGGCTGAGAGAGGGAAACGTAGCTCTTGGAAGCCATATCTTTGTTTATACAAATGCCATGAAAGAAAGATGTATTTATGTACAGGATTTCCTACTTACACTGATTCTCCTCCTGTGATTAGGATTTCCAGTTCCTATTAACGTTCAGGATTTCGGGCTTTTTGGTCATAAAACAAAGGGATTTTAGTTTTCCTTTTTCAAAAAGCAAGCATTCTTTCTGTGCTTTCTTCAATATTAGCAACCTATGAAAATGTTATAAAAGATAACAGTATCATCCAACAGATTAGCTCAAGGATAGAAAATTTTACATATATTTCCCTCAGCACAGTAATGTTCACATCAACTTCTTTTAGGATTTGTTCTCATCAAATAGTATACCCACTATACCATATACATTAAACCTACATGAACAACAATTTGATGCATATATAGAACTGGTTTTTTTTTTTTTTTAACAATCTGATTCATTATCACACAAAGATGACATAAATAGTCTTCATTTGAGATTTACTTAGGCACTTAGTGACATAGATGTGATGGACGAAAACTTGTACTTGCGGACTTTGGTAGAATTTTGAGGCTGGAATATGACCTCAGTACTTGATCTTATGGTTACTTCCTTCCACTCAGAAGCTGAAGCTCCATCACTTCGATAATCTCGAGGAGAGTACATCACCTGGAGCTTTGAAGGGGCTGCATCACCAAGGAAATTGTGTAGAGGTATAAGAAGATTATACAAAAATATCATAATAGTGGTGAACCAGTAGATAATGTCCATATACATTATGTACAATGTTTTTGCAATAATCTTCTAGTAACTCCATATTACACCAGAAACTACTAAGTTCTTTGAATTTCTATGATTTGGAGAATGCAGAGAATGAGGTGCAGTAATTGTTGGATCTAATTAAATCCAGCATCTAGTTCTCAATTCTTAAATCCATTTGCTCCCAGTAAGACCTATAACTTCTACCATCATCATATTGATCATATCATGATCCTTGAAGAAAGAAGCTTTGGCTTAAGAACTTCATTTAACGTATCCCCATCCATCAATAATTTCAACAGTAGTATTCATATGGGTTTTCACTTTATTATTAGGAAACAGCACTTGTTATTATAAATAATAATTTCCAAAATTAATTCTACTGGTATTTTACCATCGCCGGTATCACAATCTTCTTGTTTACTGGTTTTCCTCAGAATTGGATGAGGATATCTAGAAACAAACATCAACTATTGTTACTACTTCAATACCCAAATGTAACAATTAATTTTATATTAAGCCTATTAATTCATGTCTAGAAATGAAAATTATCATTTATGCCGAGTGAATAACAATAAATGACTTTGTAGGAGAATTTTAAAGATTTTATAATCCCAAAAGAAAAAATATTTTAAAAGAAGCAAACAAGAACTAAAAAATGCAGAGTACAATAAAACTTCAGGGATTACCTAGTCCAAACATGCTAGTCTTTTGGATGATAAGGCGACTAACTTTTGATCTCTTGATATTTCTCAAAGCCAGGACATCCTCTTGCTTCCCTTTAAATTCCAGAAATTCTCCAAGAACATATTTGCTACCTTTAAGCTCTAGCCTGCAGAAATAATGGAAAAATCAAGTTTTCTCAAGCTAAAATTGCCTATGATGAGAATATAATGCTCAAAAGAATCACGAAGTATACTAGTGTAACAAAAATATTATCTTCCTATATGACTGCAAAATAGGAGGGATGGGTAGGATGAGAGGACAGCTTAATTCTATTTAATTCCTAATGCTTAACTCAGAATTTCTTGTGTTAGATATTCTTTGTAGCATCATTTTTTTACCAAGTGTCCAATGGATGGAGAATCTTGCAATTAATGCAGGGAAAGTAGAGAAAACGAAGTAAAATTAAGTAACAAAATATTAGATTCATATTGTAAGGTACATTATCAACATTATTAACCAAAAAAGATATGACATGCATAAGAAATATAATCCTATGGGAACAAAATTAAAATCAAAGTTATTTGGTACATGTAGTAACAAACCTGTCCCACATGGGGACTGTGCTAAGGGTAAAGTTAAGTTGCTGATGGAAAGATTCCTGCATCTCCTTCTTCCCACCACGAAAGGCACCCTTAATCCATCCAGATAACATACTTTTTGCTTCTGGTTTTAGTTGCACCCACTGTTCATAAGTGATAACCTCGGACGGAAAATTGTTATAAATGGCACTTCAAATGAAAATTATTCAGTACATACTCTTATAAGGAATTTCGTTTTAAAGGAAATAAAGTTATTTAGTATATACCGGAATTTTGGATTGGGAATTACAACTTTGTAAGAAAAATATCCTTCTGGTAAAGCAACTCCTCTTTGTTCAAGATATGATTCAAGGACTAAAGCTTGTTTCTTAGCCTCTGCTACCTGAAACAACAAATATATTATGATCATCTTCACTGCTCTCTAAAGTTGGAATGCTTTTCTTTTGGCAAAAAGTAAGAATGTTTTTCCATATCACTGGTAGTAGAGAAGTTATACACAGTCATTCTAAGGCTTGCACTTACTATCATTTGTGCAAGTGCTTGTCAACAAAAAGATATTCAAGAGAATGGAGAAGAGTGAGAAATTATTACATTTATGCAGTTAATAATGCATCAGCCACGCTAAGAATACACCCCATCTATAAGCTTTTATGGCAAAAAACAGGCACCCTACTAATAATGAACATGAAAAAACAATATACATTGAGTTGCTGAAGAAGCAGACATTTAAGCATGGTGACTTACAGGATCAGGGTGATGCTCTGTCCTGTGACTACTGCCACCTTCACAAGTCCAGCTACCATCCTCATTTATAGAAACAAAACCTGACAGATTCTTGACAGAAATAACTGCCGCCTCTCTGCATAAATGCATTAAAATTTCAAGAAATAAAATTACAAAAGCAAGAGAAAGTGAACATCAAAGAAAACTCCAGTCATTACAGAATCCTATCCTTGCTACCAATAAAACAGAGATGAAAATACGAAAAATAACTTTAAACTACTAAAAATCTCATTCTCAATCTTATTTTCATCTTCATATGCAACATAAACAAGCCAATTAAAACTTTTTTATATATAAAACTAATAGACAAAAAAACATACTCTAAGCAAATGGAATTTAATTTGGAATGCAGAACTAACTTACCCTTTAGTAACAAGAACCATATCAATATTCTGTCGAGAACCTGTGTCAGCATCCGGAATGTTAAGCCCCACATACACTTTTCCCCCATAGAGCTTTTCAAGTCTACAATGAAGGTGCACCACAAGAAACAGTTACTAGAGGAATGGGGGGATTTGAGCATGATAACTTAGAAAATCAGGGGAAAATTAAATGGAAAGATCGACTCAGTAAAATATTCTGTTTTAAGTTTAACATTAACGTGCATTACGGTCCCAAATAAGCTAACAAAATAAACTAAGACTCTTGATTTTTGCTATACTAAAAAGTAACACATAGTATATGATTAAATGAGTAAATAGTTATAATGTAACCCGTGTTAAAAACATAAATTGTTCCCACTCCATATGGTAATGGTGTAATCATGTATCCGAATCTGTCTATTTCATGTCCAATAAGACATGAAAATTAATATGTCAAAATCATGTCCACAAGCCAAACATAAAAACATTTTTTTTTTTTGTTTTTGCCAAATCCATATATGAATTTTGCAAAAATTTTAAACCTTTTGTCTTTTTCATATCATTTTTGTTTCGTGTCACCATATCATGTTTGCAATTGTCAAGTTTAAGTAAAATCAAAATTTTCATTATTTAAAAAATCTAAAAGTTAATTTTTGATTCTTCACATTCAAACGCATTCTTGCCTTTTAACTTCCAAAACCCATTAGCAAGATAATAAAAGCAACAACAAAGGAAGCCTAAGTATACAGCCCTTTCCATTGCGAAGAAACAAATAACAGTAAAAGCTCTTTCCGAGATTCCAATTTTCCAGGAAACCAAACAAACCATAACAATCAGTAATATTTATACAATTAAACCTCAGGTCAGTAACAAGCTCTACTAAAATCAAGAAAGTTTGACCTTTCTTTTCGGACAATTAATTAGAAAGTTATAAAAGAAAAAAAAAAAGAAATTAAAACTGTAGAAATTGTAAGAATAGTACCGATCGGCGACGGAGAAAATAGCATTAAAATCAGATGTTTCCACATCTAAAATGTCGCCGCCGTAGAAGAAATAGCGGAACAACCGGTAAATGACAAGTCCGCAGATTATCTCCGTCCACATGGTAGAGTCTTTATTTCTGATTTTTTTTCGCCGGAAAATATAAAAATTAAAAATATAGTAGGAATTGGAACAGAAATGCGAGATTTTTTTTTTTTTGGTTACAATAAAAATATGAAATTTCGGGATTTTAATTTTTTTTTTTGTGCACGTGACGTGGGAGGGAAAGCGGTTTCATGTTGACTAGCACGTGTCATATTAAGAGTTACCAACCGACCAGACCAACGAAACGCCTTAACCACTAAGCTAACTAAACGCTCGGACCATATATTATTCTTACCAAAATATATATATATATATATATAATTTTTTTATTTTTTATTTTTTGAGTTAAGTAAACAAGTTTGATTTTTTTGCCGGCTGCCCTTTCCGTTTTTTTCTTTTTTTTTCAATTGTGCTATATTTTCGATTCGACTGTTACAATTTAAAGAGATCGACGGTGCGTACGTTTTATTTTTTTAATTTCGTGGAAAAATTTTTATTTGGTTAAATCCAAAAAAGTTTGATGCTGTTTAAATAAAAGAGCTTTTAAATACAACAAATCAAATTTATCTAGATTTAATGAAAAATTTTATTTTTCACTCGAATATTATATTACGAGTTACTAGATAAAAATAGATAAAATTTAAATTTTTATTAAATATAAAACGAATAATATGACATTTGTCTCATATTGGTATTATATAATATATTAATAAATAAATTTTTACTAAATAATATAAATTATTATTTTAAATTAATTAAAATTAACATATTTTTATTGAAAAAATATATTAATATATTTATAAAAAATTATCTAAATATATAAGATAAAAATTAAAAAATTAAATTTTTATTTTATTATTATTTTTTAAGTTATAACATAGATATTATCCATATCTATTAAATATTCAATATTCATAGATGAGAATAGAGATGAATTTATAATATTTATTAGATATATGTATGAACATTAATATAATATAAAAATTCAGGAATGAAATAAAAAATATTCTATTTATCCTATACTCTATTGAGTGATATCTCTATTTTTTGTTCTTCACAAAATTTTTTAATATTTTTGTAAGGAAAATTACTTTATTACTATTCTCACAAATTTTTAGATATTTATATATAGTTGTGAATTTTTGACAAGTTTTATAATTTATCGAAAACTCAAATTTGAAGAAAAATTATGAAAAAGAGAAGTTTATTAAAAAAATTTTATTAATTGGTGAAATAGAAAAAGTTATTATTGAAGAAATATAAATTTTAAAATTAATAAAAAATTAATTTTATTACTTTGATTTTTAAAAAAATCTTATAAGATTTAAAATAAAGGATGAAATAGTAAATATAATTTTTAATATAAATTTAAAATTCATTATTTTTTAATAAATATTTTTTTATTATCGATTATTAAAATTTTATAATAATTTTAACTAAACTGAATTCTTTGTGAAAATATTTTTTATTAATTTATCATGATGAGATTTTTTAATTAACATATTAAATTTTGATAAAATTAAATAATATCGGTAGCATTATTTGTATAATTTAAAAGAGTTTTAACTCTTAAATATTGATACTTGATAATTTTTTTATATCTCTCGTAACATCAAGAGATAAAATATTTAATTAAAAATTTATCGGATTTTATTATTTTTTTAATTTTAAAATAATAAAATCAACTTTTTTTTATTAATTTCAAAAGATTTTATAACTGTTTATTAAGTCAAGATTTCACTTTCTAACTCAAATTTAAAATTGATTTTAATGCATATTATTAAAAAATCAAATTAATAAATAAAAATTAACTCATAAAAAATAATTTAAAGTTAAAAATCATAATTAAAATATTTAATGAATTAATTTAGTTAAATATTACATTAATAATAAATAATTTATAAATAAAGATATAATATTAAAAAAATATTATTTATAATCAAATTTAGATAGTTGATACCCTAACATCATTATTCAAAAACCCATGACAAATAATTATTATAATATTCAAAAATGGCATATAAAACTAAGTTTACCAATGATAAATGCATAACATTTACTTGTAAAACATAGAGAAAGCACATTGAAATACAATTCAAGACAAACCCTTTTCATGACTTTTAGATAAGAAGAACAAGCAAAACAAAAAAAAAAATTTGTCTCCATCACATACAACATACTATCCAAAATGGTGAATCAAATTTAAAAATTTTTAAAAGAGGAAAAAAAAATTAAGAAACTAAACATGATACAAGCCTCTTCAGTTTCAAAACCTATTGAGAACATTAAGCAAAAACAAATGAAGCAAAACACATTCAGCTGCAAGATATTATCCAATATACCTGCCTACTAGTAGGCTAAGTCATGCCGTGGCTGATTTCATTATCTACTTCTGGTTGCTACTTCCTTTCTTCTTCAGTAGGCTCCCAAATTTACGGAGTAAGGGTTTCTTCTTTTTGTGTTGCTGCTGCTTTGATGGTGAGTTTCCACCATCATCGATGTTTACTGTCGAACCATTTATCTGATCAAAGCCCTCATTGCCATCCACCTTTGACTCCACTTCTTCCTCAAAGGATTCTCGCTCAGGTTCTCTATCTGGTGAGAATTCTTTCTTTTCAATTTTGCAGCTCTCCCACATCTTAAATTCAACTTCAACTGAATCATCCTCTTTTTCTTTCTCATCTTCCTTCACTTTTCCATTCACATTCCCCATTTTGGCAGTATCTGCTTGAAGAGCCTCATCTTTTGAGCCATCATTTACCTCCAGAGAATTTTCTCTTTTGTGCTTGTCGGGCTGCTCCAATGGGATCTCTAACTCGGGCTTCTCTTCACTTCCATGTCCATTTTCTTCTGAGAATTCAACCACCTTAGGCAGCAAATCATAGTCCTTCTCACTGTCAGTTAGCTCACCATTTTCATCACTTTGCTTTTTGATTGTAGCTTCTTCTAACAACTTAGACAACTCCTCAACTTTCTTAAGAGAAGCAGCTTCCCTAGCTTGGAGTTCCTCGTTTTCTTGAATGACACTCTGCAATTCAGTTTCTTTATCCAACAAAGACTCCTTCAATTTCATGCTCTCAATCTTGACCTCTTTCAGATCTTCTTGCAGACAAATCACCTCAGATTCAACTTCCTTTAAGCTCTCCTTCAACTGAACTTCTTCCTCCTTAGATGCAGAAGCTTCTTCCTCGGATTGTTTAAGCAAATTTACCAACCTATTAATTTCTTTTTCCAGAGAAGCATTTTCTTCTTCCGATTTTATTACACAATCTACTAAATGCCGTTTTTTTTGTTCCCACTCAGTTTTGGAATTCTGGTATTCATTCCTGGACTGTTCAATTTCAGTTTCTTTATCCAACAAACTCTCCTTCAATTTCATGCTCTCAATCTTGACCTCCTTTAGAGCTTCTTGCAGATAAATCACCTCAGATTCAACTTCCTTTAGGCTCTCCTTCAACTGAGCTTCTTCCTCCTTAGATGCAGAAGCTTCTTCCTCAGATTGTTTAAGCAAAGTTACCAGCCCATTAATTTCTTTTTCAAGAGAAGCATTTTCTTCTTCCGATTTTTTTACAGAATCTACTAAATGCAGTTCTTTTTGCTCCCACTCAGTTTTGGAATTCTGGTATTCTTTCCTGGACTGTTCAATGGTATTCGTAAGAAGATCAATCTCATTTTTTGCATCATCAAGCTTGGTTTCATACTTCTCATTTGTTGCTTTCAGGACCAATCTTAGATCATCTAACTGGGTCTCATAATTTTCATGCTTGGATTCGCTGGATAAAAGCTTCTCCTTAGCCTCCCTAGCTTCAGCAGAAACTTCATGTAAGGCTGAAGCTAAGCTTTCCATTGCTTTCTTGCTCTTCTCTTCCTCAACCCTAGAATTTTCCAACTCATTAATAAGTTTGTGTTTCTCTTCCAAAAGAGTTTGAACACTGGAAGCCGCAACCTTCTCATTATTTAAAGCTTGGGTCTTTTCTTCTTTCACTGTTTCTAACTCAGACTTTAGAGACTCAACCAATTTTGCCATTTCTGCAGTTTCATCCCTAGCCATATTAATGCGAAGTTCTGATTCCTCAAGATCCCCTCTTTGTCTACCAATTGTCATTTCCAATAATCCCACCTTCTCTTTAAGCGTAGCAATTTCAGATTCTGCCTCATGCAATGAATAATTGTTGCTCTCTAATTGCTTCATGACTGAGTCCAGAGATTCTGATGCAGATCTTTCCAACTTCTTTGCTTCCTCATTCCAAATTTCTAATTCTTCAACCCTATTTTTCCATTCCTCTACTACATTGCGTGCATAAGATTCAACCATTCTCGCAGCTTCTAGATCAATGTTAAGTTGTTCAATGAAAGCCTCCTTTTCCATCAACTTCTCCTCATAGGCCTTAGCTTTCTCAAGTTCTTGTTTCAAAGACTCTATCTCTGCCATAAGCTTCAACACCATTTCGTTCCTTTCATTAGCCTCTCTTTCAAGCTTTGAATCAAGCAAGGACTTCAACCGGACTAATTCAGCTGAAAGAATCTCCACCTTCTCAGCATGGATTTCAGCAATCTTGGTTGCATCATCAGCATGGTTCAATGCTTGGTTCTTCGCATCACAAGTCAAGGCCAGTTCCTGCTTCACCCTTTGAAGCTCCTGAGTGGTAGAGAGAAGAGCAGCCACATCCAAAGCATGCTGGTTCCTCACAGATTCAATTTCTTTCTGCCATTGTTCATCTTTCTTCTGAGCAGCTTCAATTCCTGCCTGTTCCAACTCAACAGCCCGGAACTTCTCAATCTCAGAGCTCTCTTCAGCTCGCTTTTGTGCAACCAAGGCCTCCGTAAGCTTTTCATTTGCTTCTTCAGCTACTTTCTGCACTTCTTTCAGTTCATCAATTGCTCGTGCCTTCTCCTTCTCAATCAACAATATTTGCTCCTTAGCTTTCTTTAAATCCTCCTGCACTGAGTTCAATTGAGCCTGCAATTCTAATCCCTTACCCACCCGTGTTTGTGGTTTCTGAAAATCAAAACCAATCAATAATGCAAATGCAATTCCATTAGTTTCATAATTAAGATGAATGTTTGTTTCTCTTTTCCAAAACCAGTTTTCCTCTCCAAATATCAAAGGATACAAAATGTTTCATAACACATTTTATTTCTCCTAAAAGTCAAAATAAAACTTCTTTTCCAAAAAATACTTGAAATACAACACATTATCTTGAAACATCAAGAAAAAACTTTCCCTGCTTCAGCATCCTCTCAACAAGAATCCTATATCAATAAATTCCTTTTAATCTTTAATTTTTCGTGACTCGGAAAATTACTTCTTGTACCAAAAAATGTGTAAGATCAAATGCAGTAATATTTGACAGCACTGACTAAAAAACTTACTTCACTCCTGGTGGCAACCTTTGGTGATCTACGATCAATTGCAGGCTTCGAGTTAAGAGATGATCTCAGGGAACGGTCAGCTGAATGGCGAGTAGTCAGCAAGGGAGAGGGTGAACCAGGTTCTGATTTAGGTAGTCCCCTGCTTACTTTACTTGCCACTCTAGGTGTTGCTGGTGAAACCTTGCTAGGAGTATCAGATAAACTGGATCTGTTTAAATATTTAAAGTGTCATATTTTGAGCATAGGATCAAATTCCCATTACTTAGAACACACAATGCAAAGAATATAAACAAAATTCATGCAGAAATCAAATTAAAGATGGATCTATGTCCAATATGGCAACTTTTTTCTACATAATTTACCAATATCAAATTACTCTATTAAAGTGATACATGAATACACATGCATTTTAAATAACAAATTTGGAAATTGAGAGAAATAAACTGAAGACAATATCCAACCCCATAAGCAAAAGAACTAAGTAAAAGCACTCATGAAAGAAGGCAAGGATTATGAATACACCAAAATTGAATAAAACCCATTTGAGAAAGAGAATCAAAGAACAAAATTGACTAAAAAAGGTGAGAACTTGAGTGAAAAAAAGAAGATAGAGATTTGAGTGTTTAAATTTCAAATTACAAGAAAACAAAACATAATCCTAAAAAACCATCAAAAAGCAGATCAAACATAATACCAGAATTTAAGATAAAAAATATCAAACGAAAAGAAAGGAAACCAAAAACAAGCAGTCCAACAAAGAATTAAAAAAAAAACCCATGTCAGATCTAGTCCAAAATAAAAAATTAAGGAAGAAAGCATGATATTAGAAAGAGATAAGCAGGAAAAAAAGTGAAACTTACTTGGATTTAGCAGACATGTCGGTAATGAGAAGAAGCAGATAGTTGAAGAAATTGTTTTTAACAAAAAAGGAGGAACTTGGAGAAAGCTTCTGTAGCTAAAATGCTGACATTTTAAAGACATAGGATGAAAAATGTATTGTTAAATATAACTGTTGAACTTTTTTTTAGCTATCAATATTAGAAAGAGAGAGAAAAAATTTTGGTTCTTTTCATAGTTTTTCTACAATCCTATAATAAGATTTAACATGAAAGAAGAACAAGATGTTGAAGAAAAAAAATTTTAGCAAACAAAATGATTTTGGTTGGTATCTCTTATCTCTGGAGAGGTCACTCCCAACGTAAAAAAAAAAAAAAAAAATCAGTTTGAAAGTAAGCCTACAATTCAAACAGAATGACCTAATAAAAAATAATACAAAAAATATGAAATGATGTTATTTAAAATTTTAATAAAAATTACAATAAATTTGATAAAAATAAAAATATATGTTATATTTAAAATTATAATAATACAATAATTTTTATATTATATGTACTTTTACAAATATTTTACATATATTTAATATAAAATAAATACAATAAAATTTATTCATCTAAAACTCTACTTTTTTTTTTTGTTACTTTTTAGGTGGGGATGTTGGGAAGTTACAGAAATTACCCTTGGTTGTTTCTTGGGGACAGTCAAAGAAATAGACAACTTTTTTTTGTACGTAAAATTTGTGGATAAATAGATTATTTTACGTTAAATAAGATATATTATATCTATGAATTTAAGATAAATAGTTTTAAATTATATATTTAAAATAATTTTAATAAACGATTATTAGTAAGACGTAAACTCAAAACCTCCTAAACGAAAAAAATAAATATTAATCAATTAAATTAATCACTTATTAATATAAAGTTATTTTTTCGGTAACAAAAGGCTTTAAAATATTTAGCTACCAAAGGTTGAAGCCTATCCTATTTTTTCAAATAAGCTAATTTATGTATTTATATTATATAAAATATTAAAAATGTAAAGCAATATTTAATTTAAAATTATGTATTATAATTTATGTTAATAAAAATAAAAAATATTTTTATTGTTTTATTAAATTTTAATTTATATCTTTTTCATATATTTTTTGTGTTATTTTTTATTATATTTTAAATTTTCATATCTATTTTTTTAAAAAAAGTAGTTTAACTAAAAAAGTTAAGTTTTAGGTTTGATTTGAATGTCACTAGAGTCACGTTTTAGCACGATTATATGATTTTTTGTGCAATCATGTTGTAGAATCATGTTGTAGCAAGACGTTCAGGTATGGAATTAGTAATAAATCAGGTCGAGACGAGTTTTTATTCGTCCCAAACTCGACCTAATTTTATAATCATAAAAATTAAATTCGACTCGATCTGAAATTTTTTTAATTTTTTTTCATACTCGAACCTAACCTGATTTAATATTGTATAAATTATACCCAACTCAAAATTAATAAAATATTATTTTTAAGTATAAATATATAAATAAATAATTAAACAAATAATAAAAAAATTAATTTTTATACAATATCATATCAAAATTGGGTCGAGTTTGTCTAAAACCTAAATCCGAACCCGACTCTGAATTTTTTTTACATTATCAGACTCGACTTGACCCAAAACTCGATTTTTAAAAGAAAAATCGATCTTATGAAATCGAATTGAGTCGAAACTTATCGAAAATGGGTTAGGCTACCAACCCTATTCAAGTAATAAACTATGGTATGATTGTTGCAAAAAAATTCATACTAAAATCCCATTTTCATATCAAACAGTGTCCCTTCTAGTGAAAGTTTTTTTGCTTATTACAACTCTCTTTTTCAATATTATCCCAACTTTTTCGTGTTTTCTTCCTCTTTTGACTCTTAAAATTATAATAATGTTTACATTTATATAACTATATATTTATGGATAAATATATTATTATTAATTTAAAAAAATTTATGATTCAATAAAAAATAAATTTATTAATTTTTAATTATTTGTTAAATTTATAAATATCAAATATATTATAAAATTTATTAATATAATTTTAATTTAATATCTTTAATAATAATTTTTTATTTTTATTATATTTCATCTTACCGCCACATTACTTTTACATCTAAACGTATATTTTACTATTAATTTTAATATCATCATTACAATAATCAATCTTATTGTTATAGTAATTAATTTTATTTTTATTATTATTTTTAATCTTAACGAAACTAATCTTACCGTTTATTCAAATAAACTTTTACTCGTAATCATGATTATTTGAAGAATACAAAAAATGAAGTATGTGCCTACCTAGTTTGAATTTCTACTTTATTAACCTCCGATTTAGAAAAAAAAATTAATTTGTTGGCATTTTCTTTTTGATAAGTAGATTGTGGACTTTTTTTTTTTTTTAATAATGATTCTTAATTATTCATTAAAGAAACCATTCGAGTCATCACACACAAAACCATAAAGAAATGATGGAACCTCTTGCCCAGCTCATATCCTCATTAATTCATAACCCATGCCTAGCTATATGATCATGGCCTTGTTTAATACTATATATAAATTTCATATATTCTGTTAGGTCATATTTATTGTATAAAATTATTAATAAGATAGGATGATAATTATCTTATATCATATTTAATTTGTATCTAAAAAAAAATATAGGAATTACAAAAAAAATTAATATACTCTTGGCATAAGATTATTTAATCCTCTTCAAGCGAAAAAATTATTTTTAATTCATAAAATTAAATTTACATATTTAATTATACACTTAAAAATTATATCAATAATTTAAATTGTATAAATTTTGAGGAAAAATATTTTTTATAAATAAATAAATTATCTTATTCTAATCCTTGCATATATATCAAATATAAAATAAAATTATACTATTTAATCTAATCCTATTTATAATATTATCTTATTTTATCTTATCATATCTTGTGTGTCAAACATGACCTTAAGAATTAAAACTTGAGCTTTCATACTAAAATAAGAATGAACTTCAATTTTTAAATTCAAATTCAGATATATTGAATTGGATTGGATTTGCCGGTGAAAAAAAAATTATCTCTCAATATATAACTTCAAATTTTCATATACAAAATATTTATATATAATTTAATGTAACAAAAAGAAAAAATGAGTTAAGATGCAATAAATATGGCATGTAACAGCCCATAATCCAAATGTTTAAATGGTATATGATTAAATAAAGTTCCTTGTATTGTAAATATATATATATATATAAATATATTTTTATCATTTAAAGGGAGACAGAGTCCTAGAGGGAGAAAGCTGTCTTGATCACTAGACTAATCGGGCTGAAGACAAAATATATATTATTTTATTTATTATAGTTGGCTTTTTAAAACAAGTCCTATCTTTGAACTACCAAAGCAAACCATTAATGAGTAAAATATGGTTTAAACCAAACGAAAAAAAAAAAAAAAAAACTTTCTTCTGATTTTTTATGCTTCAGCTTGTTCTTGGATGAAATGAAATGTGGCTACTCCCTTAAAGATCAAGAAAATAACTTGGATCCGAAATCTAATTTAATTGAATAATGCAATTTTTTTTAAAAAATAATATTTAAAAAATTTATAATTTAAATTTTAATATTTATATATTTTTTATTTTCGTATTGAGATTTGTTCTATATATAAAAAAATGAAACAGTTTACTCAAATCATTTTGAATTAAATAAATTTTGTAGAGTGGAGTATATGAGATAAGAAAGAATTATTACTCTGCATGTAAGATCATATTTTCAAAAAAAAAAAAATAATTAAACATTTTAGATAAAACAACTAAAAATGGTGTCATTTCATTTGAGTTGTTGACATTAATATACAAATTACAACTTTATAAAGACAAAAAAAAAAAGAAAGATAAGATTTGAGTTCACTAACTCGAAAAAGTAAAATCAATAATTATGCTAATCATGGTTTGATTTAATGGCAACTCTAATAACACATATATCGGTTTAAAATCTTAAAAATTAAATCTTAACTAATAGCAACCAGCTTTGCTCTTTTATAAAGTTCATAATATATCAACCTAAAATTGTTGATTAGTTTTATTTAAATGCCATTTTAGTGGTTATTATTATATATATATATATATATAAAGAAATATTAATAAAATTTTTTGAACTTAATTTTGTAAGTATAAAATATATGTACTTATCATTGAACAAAATGTTAATCCGAAATTTAATTAAACGGATTCATGTAATTATTTTTAAGTGATGATAATTAATAAATTTGATATCTAAATTTTAATATTTGTAAAATTAATTTTTTTTCTGTCATAACCTCCTTTTTACCAAAAAAAAAAAAATGTTGAAATGCAATGTCACTAAAACTGAATATTTGTGTATATCCACATTTTGTTACTTAAACAAAATGATCCAGCACTGACATCCAGCAATTCTTCCTAACTATTTTTCAAGATTAAAAAAAAATGTGATAAATTTCATTAGGTAATTTGGATCAAGGTAATTAAAGTATTGGGTTGGTTAGACTAGCTTTTTATCTTTGACAATATCTTTTAATTTCTTAATCTATTCTTAAAGTCTTAATCCATCTATTTACATTTAAATACTTATGGAAATGGTATTACGTATCGAATCGTGGTCACCTCTCAATTGCAGCAAACATCATGCAATGTTAACTATAGCTTAATTGGCAATTTTTGCAATGGTCTTGATCCAGAAATCTAAAGTTCAAAACAATGAAACATATCAAAATCACCAAACACTAACTTTCCAAGATTCATGCATTAGAGATAATTAGTTGAAATAAGTAATAACAGTGCATAGTCACTTATTTTTTACATGGTATAATAAACAAAGTTGAGTTTCATTTCAAATTGAGAAAGAGACAAGTTTTTTGTATGGTGGGGAAGATGACTAGCAACCAACAAAACTTTTCTCCTATCTTCTTATGGTTGGGTCAAAATTGATTGAAATTATTAGATTAAATTAGGTGGGACTTTATCTTTAAAATGTTATAACTAAAATATATCTCTCGAATCAACAATTATGTAATTTGTTAATAAAATATTAAACTCTTAATTTTTTTTTATACGTATGAGATCACAATTTTAAGATTAAAAAAATTGAAGATATTAGAATTCGAACCCATATTTATTGCATGTTACTTTTTAAAAGTGATTATATGAATTTAAATTCCGATTTCAAATTTTAATTTCAGTAATCATAATTCAATTCTTAATAACTTTAAGTAAAAAAAAAAAAAAAAGCTCCCCACCCTTCGGAATTATTGATTGGTTTTCTTAATGTAATTCATCAGTGGGGCAGACTGAGCT